GTCACACACCACACACCACACCACACCACACCGCACCACACCACACCCCCCCGGGCCCGTGCCTGTTCCCGGCGCCCGGGAGGGAGCTCCGCTGGGGTGTGACGCCGGGGAGGTGTCGGGGAGCGGCGTGAGACCCCGGAAAGCCGAGAAGGCGGCGGCGTTTCCGTTACTTCCCGCGGCGCTGCCGCCCGGGGCGGGCAGAAGGACGCGCGGTCTTGATCGAGTGGCAACTGTGGGTGCCTAATGAGGAAGAAATAAGTATTTCTACGAGTATTTCTGCTTAGTTTGTCGGTGCGCCGCTTTGGGGAGGGAGCGCGCGGGATCCCGAGGGCCGTGCTCGCCGCCGCCGCCGCCGGCGGGGTACAGGGAGGAACCGCGGCGACTTTTGCTCGGGGAGAGAAAATGAAGGTAGGGGAATTTTTTCAGGCGTGTTCAGTGTAAGGGTTCAGATTGTAGCTGTTTGACGTGAAGAAAGGAAGAATGCTGTGGCGTTGAGGCGTATAAAAGTTTAAAAACCTACAGCCCTAACGGTAGTTAGATTTGGAAAAGGGGTGTTAGGGTGCCCGTCTCCAGATTACTCTTGGTGAAGCTCTGGTGAATGCTTTCAAGGCGTGCAACTAGTAGCATCACGCTGAAATTTGCACTGGAGTTGTCCCCAAGCTTAGGTTGAAGCAAAAGCCCTCTGCACCCAAAATCTCTCTGCACCCAAAATCTGTTTTCTAAGAATACCGGTTGGTCCACTGAAAAACGTCATTTACAGCCCCTGTAGGTATACGGTTGCAAAGTTGTAAAGGGACACTCGCTAACACGCTGCAGGAGGGTAAGGCTAACACAGCAGTCTCTTGGAAAGCTGCCTTGGTCTAATTAAATAGGAAAATTGAAAACTCACTTGGCCAGAAATGAGAATAAATAAATAATACGAATTGGAGCCTCAGTACCGGAAAAAGAAGATTAAAACTGCTGATAATGCATGTTTGTGAGTTGGTTCCATTTTTTTCTAGCGTTTAAAGCTCTAGATCCAGAATTTTACCCCAAATGTGTGTGTGGAAACACAGGAAAATTGTGCCATTATCTTGATGGAAATGCTGGGAAATTCTGCCAACAGATTCAGTTGTTCTTTCTGTTGTGGTTTTTAAACTATGTACTTTTAAGGGGCTTACATTTTGTCAAAACAATCCAAGAAAGCATTTTTTTTACTAGATAAAAATAAGTCCAAAAAAAATGTAGTGACTAGTTTCTGTAAAAAAAAAAAAAGGTTAAAATGTATTTGTCTAGTCATGAGCGTTAAGTGTAAAAGCTGCTTATCTGGGAAATAGATTTTGTTACTGTTTTAGTGCAGAAAATAGACTTTCCATTCTGAATGATTTTTGGTGTGCTTGGGCAATAAATAACAGTATGAATTGAATTACATGATTCGTCTATTTTGTTTCCTAAAATATTTGCCTCAATATTTATATCTCGTAAATATTTCTAATTGTTTTCTAATATTTTTCTTTATAACCAAATATTTCCCAATAATATTTTAGGAAACAGAAGGGAAATTCTTGTGTATCTCAAATACGCTGCTTTTCCTTCCCCTCAGATCAGACAGACTCCTTTTTACAGGGAGATGCTCCTGTTGCTGTGTTTTGAGTTTTGCATGTTCTTTTGTCAGAAATATTCAAGAATGTGGGCAAGACTTTCTTGTCTTGAAGATTACCAGTGTTTCTGTGTATGGCAAACTCTAAGTAAGGTTGTGTTTTAATGTCTTAAGGTTTCTTATGCTATTCTGGCATTGGTTTTACTTTTGTCGTTTAAGGAGAGTTTGGTTGGGGTTTTTTGTTTGGGGCGTTTTTTGCTTCCTATGCATGCTTTCAGTCTTGGCAGTCTATGCAGCGTCCCAGTATTTTTGGATCATACAGTCTGTGTAGTTCCCAAATCTTTATATTGGATGTGCTTCAACATTTTGGCTTGGTATCTGAAATCTGCCTTACACAGATGATATTTACACGTGTTTCTCTGTGTTGGGAAATGAGTGTTCTACCTTGTGTCACTGGACTCAGGTCAGTGCTGTTGAGGTCAACTGTAATTTTTGTGTAAATGTTTTACTAACTTGTTGAACTCTATTAACTTTCAGCTTCTTGAAATTAATCCTGTGTAATTATCTGAGCATGTTTCACTGCTTGTATTGAGCAATGATAAACTCAAATTTGAATAAAGCAACTCGACTGATGTTTTATGTGCCTCCATGACCTTATAATTTGCCTGATACATAGTCCACTCCTACTAGCTGAAAGCGAAGGTGAAGAAAAGGAAGTGCAGGCACAGCGTCTCTTGTCGCAGCGCTCCAAAGTGGTTTTCATTAGGAATCTCTGGAGTAGAATAGCTGTTGCTTCCATCCTGCTTCAGGTGTGTGCCTAACGTATTCACGGCTGATGTTGATTATTGCTGCTCATTTATAAAGGCAGTAACAGGAGCCTACTGATGGTGATCTGTGCATTTTACCTTATTTTAATGAACTTGTGCTTATATTAGTTACCCTGTTTTCTCCTTTCTGTTTGTTGTTCATTTTATCCATCCTGTTGTATTCTGATAGCAGCTAGGATTTTAAGTTGTTTGAGAGGAACCCTTTTGGAAATATTTTTCCTTCTCAGTAACTAATCTCTTGTCTATCTTTACCCTAGATTTTTTTCTTCCATTCTTTCTTCGGACCCTCTCTTTCCAAATTCCTTTTCCATTGCCATTTCTGTTATGTTCTGCCCATTTCCCTCTCTTGTCTCTGATTTCTTACTCCCCTCATCTATTTTTATGCTCTGTGCGGACACTTTTTTTGCTAGTGTGTGTGGTTAAATGGTTTTCACCACTCATCGAAGAGGCTCAATGTGCTTTTTTCATTCTTAATGAGGGTAGAGAAAAATAAAATGCCAAGGTTGTCGTTTTGGGTTTTTTTTGTCCTTATGACTATAAAGGTGGAAAGGAAAAAAGTCAGGGGAGAAGTAGAGAATGGAAAGTGTGAAATGGTGGTGGATGTCTGAGAAGGGGGAGAGAGGAGAAGCTTAGTTGAGGGAGTGTTTCATGGGAGGCTAAGGCTCATCCACTAGTAGATCTGGCAAGAAAAGTCTGTGTTAATGATGGCAGTTGCTCAGATATTTTCGGATCATCGGAGATTCCAAGGCTTGCGTAAGTGTCACATGTGCCATTTGTAATAGGACTCGAGTTTGTTCTTAAGGCAGGTGCTTGGGTTGTATTTATGATTGTTCAGTAAGCAAAATCCTTACATTGCATAAGAATAATAACACCTCTTCTGACCAGCTGGAAGGTAGTACTCACTAATGCAGCTTATGTTCTGTTAAAACAGCGCAGCTTCTTGGATTTTCAGTAGAACTCCTTGCTGTGATGAAGCGAATGTGGGTAATGCCAGCTGCATCTTAGTACAAATCCATAGTGATGAAGCTGCCAAACGGCTCCGTGCTTTTCATGAACTCTGTTCAGGATAGGACTTTTAAGTAGTTACAGGTCAGAACTAAGTTTTTACTCATTTCCACATAAAATGCAAATGCTTTAGAAACTATTACAGTTGGAGTTGATCTGTCACAGAGGGTGGCCAGGGCTATTGCCCACTGGTGGAATTGTAAAGTCACTTCTTCCTCTTCTCAGAATGTGCTTCTAAGGTAGAGTGGGTCAAGAGCTTGTGCTTCTGCCCGTAGTGAACGCAGTGCTCTGCATTTACTAGGAACAGGAGGATACAAGTAAAGGTCACAGAAGACAGGCAAGGTTACCCTTCTGCAGTGGGCTGTGCATTTTGTTTGCCCTAGAGATAGCTAAACACTTGAGTGAGTTAGAGAGGCACTCAAGGAATGACCCAATGTGACGTTGTTCACTGAGACTGAGTAAAAGTTAATCTCACTTTGCTGTAACTGGGGACAAAGGTGAAGGATGGAAATAATAAAAGGGCTAAATCTGGGATAAAAGGTAGTGGAGGATAAGCGAGTTCTTTGGGTGTGGGAGAAGGGTGTGTGGAAATAGAGGCTGTGTCAGGTTCACATAAAAAGGAGAGGAGAGCAGTTAGGATTATGAATGAATAAATGTAGGATAGAGACAGCAAATAAAGATTTCAAGAGAATAAACGTCGTGGGGCTGAGCAGATCGCTAAAAGACAATCAAATGTAAAGGCTAGAGGTGGATGAGAGTCCAGGCAGAGCAGATGAACAGGCGTATGAAGTAGAATATTCAGTGCTGTGGGTGGATGGACGTGTTAACCAAGTGTCTGGAGAATGATAAGGATCTGTTTGCACCTTCTGTATGCTGAGTGCTCTGTGTGTCTATCAGTGCAGGCGATACTGCATATGGTGGGGCATCTGGCCACACGCTCTTTTCTGCTGTTAAAATGCAAATAACAAAGGTAGCTATATATTATCCTCCATTTTACCTGGGCACCTAATGAACCCTATCATTTCTGTGCCCATATCTTTCCTTTATTAGCATTTCTTAGGAAAAATATATGCAAAGAGATACGTGTTAACAGAGAGGAGGTGTAGTTGTATCTTGATATCCAATACTGTGTCACACAACTTTGGAGCCTTGGCTTATAGAAGCTGCTGTTAGAAGCTACGTAAGCAACCTGAGCGTTCAGGGTAACTGCTCTAGATGTGAGAGTGTGGTGCGGTTTTGTTGGGGGTTTTTGTAATTCTGAAAATGAAAACTGTCAGGAGAAAATGATGAAAAACCAAAATGAAGACAGAAGGGAAAAGTATGAAAAACACTGAGAGGCAGAGCCCAGGTGCGCCTTACAGTTCAGTCCCTCTTGTGCAGCACAGGCTTTTCTCGGGGACGAGGATGCTGCTGGAGGGATATGCCTTCACTCTCTCTGTGCGCTAATCTCTCCTAGCAGCTGTTCTTAGCCCGAGATGAAATTCTCTTTGTTTGTGACTCTGAATAACACTTGTGTTCTGCCACAGCATCTCAAGTATGTAAATGTTAGGGCAAAGCAGTTCTGCCCTGAGCTCCCCTTTGGTGATGCTTCTTTTCAGATAACATTTGGGCTTTTTGGAGGTTCTGGGGGCTCTAAATGTTGAGAACCTTCAAGCCAAATCAGAGAAAAAAAAAAAAAAGTCTAAATAAAGTCAAAACTGGAAATACTGGGAAGCAAACTACTTTAACTCTTCTGCATTTGGGAAATGGAGAAACCTTTACTCTGAAAGAACAAATCACTTAGATGCAGTTGTAGCACCAAGTGCAGTAAATCACATCTTTTGGGTGAGGTGTTGAAAACTATCTAAAGGGCAGAATATATGTGTACAGACTGATTTCCCCCCCC